AGCATCTGTTAACGGTGAAGTCATCTAAGTGCTGAAGCTCCTCCGACCAGTCCTTCCAAGCTGATGTATAATGGCTTGGTAATGGGTCATCCCATTTCAGTTTATCCATCCAAATTTTTTGCAGCAATATTTTTGCGCTAACTGAAAATGGTGTCAAAAAACCTAAAAGGTCATATAGTCTTGCCGTGGCTTGCAAAACCTGTCTTTCTGAGAGTTGTCTCATGTCTGTCATTTCGCCATGTAGTGTCGGGAAAGCTCAACACGTCATCTACGAAATTCCATTTCAGTCCCAAAATCTTGATTTGTCCCTCTTTTCTTATCCCCCGATCCAGATCATCTTCTTCTTCATCAAATAGTTTTCTTAGTTTGGCGTCATTTGAAATTCATTTTCTTAAATTCATTCCCGCATTGCGAAAAATGTCTCATGCTTCTTTGTATATCTTTGTCGATGTCGAGTATTCGTCGGCTCCTAGTAAAACGTCATTGACGTAGATTTCTTTTCGGAGTTGCGCCACAACTGCAGGATATTTTTCTTCGAATTTATCCAAATGTCGATGAATTGTGGCTGCCAGAAGGAAGCGACTTGGCGTAGTTCCGAAAGTAACCCTCGTCATCCTCCACGTTTTTATCTTCGCGGCTGGCATATCTTCGCTGGGTATTCTTTCCCACCACAAAAATCGCAGTGCGTCTCGGTCATTTTCATGTATCTTGATCTTCAAAAATGCTTTTTCGACGTCGGCTGACATAGCAATCTTGTGATGTCAAAAGTTGATCAGCAAGCTTGTGATGTCGGGGTTTAGGTTTGGTCCATTTTTCAAGTTGTCATTCAAGGATTCACCTGGATTCTGGCTTGACGATGCGTCAAAGACTATCCGTATTTTTGTCGTTCGGTCCTTCTTAATTACTGCTTGATGCGGCATGTAGTATACAAATTTGTTCTGTATGTCTGATCCAGCATCTGCGACGTTTTCTGCTATTTCTTGCTCAAAGTACTCTCGAATAGCTTTGTCATAGGCTAGGAGCTCATCTTTATCCTTGCATAATTTCTTGGTCACCTGGATAAGCCTCTTCCCTGCAATGGTGTTGTTGTCGTCCAATGTCACGTTTTCCTTTCATGGTAGCCGCACTTGGTATTTTCCTGCCTTGAACTCCATTGTTTGTCGGACGTATTCTAGCACATGTTCATCGCTCATCTTTGTTGCTTGTTTCTCCTTGATGTCCATGTTTTCCAAGTCCCAGAATCTCTGCAGTTCGTCCACCGTCGTGTTAGTCTTGGCACTGACCTTGAGTACCATAACCGTTGATGATTTCATCGGCACACAGTGAAGTTCTACAGGACCTTGGACAGCACATCCCAATATTGTTTCTATTGCCATTACTTTTGGATGAATCTCGCAAATGCGACCAGTGAGTACAGTCCAGTAATAATCTGCTCCAATTAATGTAGAAGTTTCCGTATTTTTTCTCTCTTTGTCCGTCTTCTCGTTGTCATCAGCCAAACAAATTCCCATCGATCTTGCTCTTTCGTGTATTGTCAACGGTGGCGATGGTAGCACGTCACAGCATATAACTTCTATCTCCAGTGCCTCAACCGTGACTGGCTCCGATGTGGGATCCTTCCTCACGCTGACCTCGACGACTTCCATGTCTAGTTCCATCTCTCCTCCTCCAAATGATCCTACGGTAATCCTTTCGAATCTTTTTACCTTGCACGCTAGTTTTCTTGACAATCTTTTCAGGATGAATGTCCTCTGGCTCCCGTTGTCCAGCAGAATCCGTGCGTAGCACCCGCTGTCTTCTCCCTCTGTCCACGAAAAGGCTGTCTGCAGTAGTATGCACTTGTGTTCATCAAACTGCTGTGCGTGCATGTTGCAGGACTTGGTGGTGTCTAACCGGTCAGGTTGCGCGCTTTTACGCACTTGCTCAACATCATTACCGCTTTGCTGCTGTGCTGACTTTCTTGCAGGCGTACGTGGTCGACACATGGATGTCGCATGCCTTCCCTTGCATGTTTTGCAGCGTACGTTACTGCGGCATATCTTCGCCGTGTGGTGAGGTCTTGTGCATCTGCAGCATCTTCGCTCCCGTTGCAAGGCTTCTTTCTTCTCTTGCATAGTAATGCTTCTTCTGCAATCTTCCGTGTAGTGTCCAGTCATCTCACAGAAGATGCAATTTTTAATCGAGGTGCTTTGAAGGGTAGATGTTCTAGTCCACCTCATACTGTGCGGTGACTGGGTCATGTCGTATTTTTCCTCTCAAGTTTCTTCCCTGCTGCGTAGATATATCTTTAAAAACTCCATAATTTCTTTCAAACTGCTCGTGCTGTCTCTTGACGCTGAGTCCGATTCCGTAGTTGCTGGTCTGTTGTCACCTTTCTCTATCTGCTTCATCTTCATCTCAATCCTCATATCCACTGGTAGCGCAGATTTCACAACAGGAGCTATCACTGTGGCATAACTATCCACTTCCACTCCTAACGACTGCAGTGCTCGTGTGTTCACTTGCAACTTTTAGAAGAGTTTCTTCAACTTATTTACACCTTTAGGGCTCTTCACTGCTTCCACGTTTACTATCTCTTTTACGTAGGTCTCTCTTAAATGATCTTGTCGTCCGAATGTTTTTTTTCAAAAGAGCCACTGCATGCTCGTAGTTCTGATCAGAAAACAGTAAACCTTCTATGAGGGATGCAGCCTCCCAGCTTAGAGACGCCAGAAGGTAATTGAATTTTTGATTCTTTGGCATGTTCGCTCTGTTATGCACCGATGTCTCGAACTGATGCCAAAACCTTGGCAATGCTGTTTTTTTCCCATCAAACTTGATCATCTCAAGACGTGGCAACTTAACAAGCTCTTGCATCTCCGAGATTCGGTTAGTACCTTGCACTGAGCTCGCCTGTTCTGTAACTATTCTCGTAGTCAGTTGCGTCGCTTGTTCTAACTCGCGTAATTGCTCCTCTATTTTTGTCGTTGCAGCGACGATCTTCATCTCATAATGCAAAACTCTTTCAAATTCTGCCTCCGCAACGTCTTCTTCAAAGAACGGTTCAATCTGTTCGTTAACTTGTTTTAGCGTCTATGACACGCTCTTCATCTGATTTAGAAGCGTCATAAGTTGCGCTCAATCGGCGTCTTCTTCTATCTTCTTATCGATTTCGCTCGTAAGCGTTGTCACATTTGCTCGAAGCGTCTTCCGCTTCTTCGATAGGACCTCTCTATTCACACTTAAAACGTGTCTTGCCTGTTTATGTGCGTCGCCAACAGTCGTCGGTCGTGGTCCTTCCCTCGACGGTTCGTCCTTGAGCCAGACGCCGCTGCTTCGTTCTTCAACCCGTTGTTGCGAATGGGGTTGAAGTCTTTGCGTCTGTCCTCAGTTGGCAGAACACAAATAAAAAAATACAGAGTGTGCCCCTGGCCACTTCTTCTTCCTCGCCCCAAGCTCCATCTTCAATCTGTTTTCTACAGATGGTTTTGCTGTTTGTAAACTAACTGAAGTGTGCCAAATGGGCTACCCAAGAAGACTGCCAGTTCCGGTAATGCTTTTTTCAATGTTTCCAGTGGTGTATTTTTGGTGCTCTATTATTATTTCTGGTGTGTTCTTTCAGATGCGTTTAGAGAGATGTCCTAGCAACATGACACAACTCAATGACGTCGCTCGGTAGTGGTACAAGCAGGAACTGCAGTGACTAGGAGAAGAGTTGCTTGATCATGCAATTCGGCTTTTTGACTGGAGCTAAAGATGTGCCTCCCGTCACAGCCACTGACGTGGTTATGCATATTTGTTTTAGCACACACCCTTCCTACAAAGGTCCGCTGTAGTAGCACATCATTTATCCTGGCAAGGGCAGTCAGAGACCCGTGTATGGTGCAATGTCAGTGCACATTAAAATACACCAGATGCTCACCAACGCCCTCCACTCGGGTGCCTCTCATAATGACATTGTGATTGTGGGCCGTAAAACCCCACTTATTTCTAATAACCACACAATAAAATGCTTATTACTGCACTTGTGTCACATCGGGCAATTTCGATGGAGATTGACACTAACCAGAGTCACTTATAATATGAAGTGTTTGGTGTGACTGAAATAATATAAAATGTACTCATTATGTGATGATGTAAGGTGTGGCTGAGTCATGCAAATTACTATGATTTACTAATCAGTACAGAATTCATGAATTAAACTCTCAAGTTAAGTTGCCTGCATATACCATTCACTGTCACACAAAATGATAATTTAGCTTGAGTGTAACAATATGAGTTGGCAGCAACAACATAAGGGGTGAGTCATTTGTTTGCGCCGATGTGGACCTACTCTCGGGTTTCGCTCTCATGAAAAGCAAATGCAACGGCAACAAAATATAGGCACTTCAATGTATATTGTTCGGCGATCCAAGTTGCACGCGGATGCTTTAATGCCCCGCGTGTTGCTCCGAACAGTATGCACCACTCGCACGGTTACTAGAAACACATTAACCTGCACTTTCACCTTTTGCTATCCACTTATCTGCCACGGGCGGAAGATGATGGTGTTTGACGTGACCAGCAAAGAATGTCAGAGCTTGGAATATGCGGCGAGCTTTACTTATCTTTGATGAAGTTGGCAGAACACATTTGCGCACTCTTTTTAGGAATCCAGCTTTCTCGCTGATGGTTGCAATCCAGGTGCCTTTTCTGCCTCTATCTCTTGGGAAACAAAAAGTTTTCAATTGCGATAGTAAATTAACTCCGGATCGCAGGCTCCATCGTGGTCGCGAGTGCTTCATTGGAATAATTCTATCTGCAGAAAGAATCGAAACACAAGCAGCCGCAGCCAGCAGTGCAGGCTAAAACCATGCTAAAACAAGGTAGATAGGAAGTTTTCTAGGGTGCATTTCAGGTGAACGCAAAAATGTTGCCAGAGAACGGCAAACGCTGGTGAAACCGTCCGTAAAGAATCAAAGGGCACTGTCTTTTCTCTGTGGGTGCGTGTGCAGTTGCACTGAATGTTTCTCTTTTCGCAGCCATGCACATAAAAGCACGGTGATGGAGGTGAAATGGAACCGCAACGGCAACTGGCTGCTTACCGCTTCTCGAGACCACCTGCTCAAGCTGTTTGACATCCGCAAGATGAACCAGGAGATGCAGACCTTCCGGGGACACAAAAAGGAGGCGTGCAGTCAGTGGCTTTCATTCCACTCTCCTTCAATTTTGGCCGCACAGCAGAGCTCGGCATTAGACCCAATAATAATGAGAGCTTGAAAAGGCATGTTACTAGCAGTAATTGTGGTGTTCATGCGAACAAAGATAAGTGGACGAAAAGATAACTTGCAACCAGCAGGGACCTTTCAATAACGCGCCCGATGCTCTTCCGACTGAGCTACAACGGTAGTCATCTCATCGTCCACTTGATAGTGTATATACCGTATTTACTCGTGTAATCAAAGCATCTTTGCTTTATTTATTTTTTCTTTTTATTCAAGAAAAGTTCTTGAGGAGGGGTCATTACCTGGGAGAAAAAAGTCATGAGATTTATATCAACAAACATTTTGCGTGACGGTATTAATAAACTTGCTGTCCAACCACTGCTGGCCTGGAATTCAGGGGCAGTACGGCGGAGCCTCTATTTGAAAACTTTGCTCTCTATAAGAGGACATTCTCTTTGTTTCGGCCCGTAAAATGCATAAAAAACCTTTTTTGTAGCTCGAAGCTGTTCTTGTTTGCTCCGGTAACGAATGCTCATGGATCAACGCTGATCACAGTGTCATGCAGCCGCTCGGTTACCATGCTCCAGTACATGTGCAACCAACTGTAATTTTAAAACTGGCTGTGTAGCTGGCCTACAACTTATTGTGCCCTGTGCAGCAGGTGTCGAATACAGTTTACTATGACAAAGAATGCAGCGGTGCGCACACATTGTGGTGGCGCACACACGTTGTAGGTGCACGTCGCGCTGTCGCCGTAGTAGACGCGACTGTGTCAAGCGCATTGGGCAAGTAAGTGACATGACAATCGAGTCATTGGGTGGACAAGTGACGTCATGTTTTATTGGCTGCCTCACTCTGTGGTGAGTGATGCAAACATGTCATTTTTGTTGGAAGTTTCTTGCCTTTTGCCGTTTTCTCGAATGAGAAATAATTCGCTCGTAACATTTTTGTTTCACAATGTTATGTCATTAGGCTAACTGTAGATGTAATTACTAGTACGTATATCCGACTCACAACTGAAGGCCACGGTCTGCTTCTGTATCTATTTCCAGAGTTTTAATTACTACTCCAATACACAAACAAAATAGGATACAGCCTTTAAGGCAACGCCTGTCTATTCTTCAGCTGTTGGAAATGTTTCGCTTTTTTTTGCAAAAATTGGATATTGGAATTGGATATTGGAATTGGAAATTGGGAGGTAATGTCATAACCAATATGGATAAGATAGTCGAGGTGGCGGAGGAGTTCTACAGAGAGTTGTACAGAAGCCAAACCAACCAGGATGATATCGTGAGAAACAATAATAGTCCAGAGGAATTCGACATCCTACCAATAACGACTGGGAAAGTAAGGAAAGCGCTAGAAGGAATGCAAAAAGGCAAAGCTGCTGGTGAGGATAATGGAACAATGGACCTCCTGAAATATAGCGGAAAAATTGTGTTACGAAAATTTGCCACCTTTAAACGAAGTGTCTCTTGACGGGAAGGGTATCAGAATCTCGGAAGAACGCCAACATCATTTTAATTTTTTATTTTATTTATATTTACAAATACTGCTGGCCAGAGGCCAAAGCAGGAGGGGCAAGATAATACAGCTATCATACACATTTCAAAACAACATCAACAATAAAGAGAGTAAAAAGTGGAAAGCGTGACATACTTATACAAAAGCAACAAAAAGAAAGAGTGGGGAGGGAAAAGAGGAAATAGTTGGAATAGTTAGAAAAACAACTTCAAATTTCAGCGTAAATAAGATCGGGAGAGTGAATTCATAAGAAAGGAGACGTCAAGAGCTTGAAAAATTTCAGGCTGATCAGCTTGCTGTCCATTCTCTACAAACTACTTACAAAAATAATAGCCAATAGAACTAGGGCGACATTAGAGTTCAATCAACCAAATTACCAAGCATGATTTTGTACAGGCTACTCCACAATATAGCATATTCATACTATCAATGAGGTAATAGAGAAATGGGCGGAATACAACCAGCTCCTATACATAGCCTTCATAGATTACGTGAAAGCATTTGACTCACTCAGGACATCAGCAGTAATGCGGACACTACGGAATCAAGGCATCGAAGAACCCTACATAAACATACTGTTTGAAACCTACAGCAGATCCACAGCCACCATATTTCTCCATAAAGAAAGAGACAGAATTCCAATAAAGAAGGGTGTAAGGCAGGGAGACATGATCTCTCCAATGCTATTCACAGCATGTTTACAGGAGATATTCAGGACCCTAGATTGGGAAGAGTTAGGAATAAGAGTTAATGGAGAGTGTCTTAGTAACTTGCAATTTGCTGATGACATTGTCTTGATGAGTAACTCAGGGGACAAGTTACAGCTCATGATTACAGAACTGGACACTGAAAGCAGTAGAGTAAGTCTGAAAATTTATATGCACAAAACTAAAATAATGTGCCACAGCCTAAGCTGCAAACAGTGCTTTGTGATTGGTGGAGAGACGCTAGAAGTAGTAAAGGAATATGTGTACTTGGGACAGGTAGTAACTGCAGAGCCAAACCATGAGAGTGAAATAACTAGACAAATAAGAATGCGATGGAGCATATTCCGCATGCATTCTGAAATAATGACTGGTAGATGGCCACCATCTCTCAAAAGGAAGGCATATAGCAGCTACATCTTGCCAGTACCTACTTGCAGAGCAGAAACCTGGAGGCTTACAAAGAGGGTTCTGCTTAAATTGATGATGATGCAGCGAGTGATAGATAGGAAAATGATACGTGTAACTTTAAGAGACAAGAAAAGAGCAGAGTGGGTTAGGGAACAAACCGGGGTCAAGGATATCATAGTTCAAATCAAGAAGAATAAATGGAAATAGGCCTGGCATGTAGCGCGTGGGCAGGATAAGCTTTGGTGATAAAGGGTAATTGACTGGATTCCCAGCTGTGCCAGAGTGTGCCAATTGACATTTACTGCGCCATCCTGGTAATGTCAATGGAAATTGCACCAAACTGAGCCAAAGTTGGATTTGGGAACGTTTTTCACTGTCAATAGCCACACCGGCATGTTAAAATGTGTGCAGCTGTGTGCTGCACACATTTCAAAAATGTGTGCAGCCACCAAAATCACAACCACGTATCTAAAATTATTCCACTGAATAAACAATGGTCACAAGTGCATCTCAGCCAATCTTCGATGCTCTACTTGGTGCTGATGCAACTTCTGCTGTGCAAGTCAGCTCAATGGCAAAACGTGCCCTCCGCAGCTAGGGGCTCGTGACTTGTTGTCTAATCGGTATCGTGTAACTGTGGCGGTTATTCATTGGTGGACATCATCCATTCTTGCAACTCAACTGATAGTTCGTTCAAAGAGCCGTGCACGTAACTAAAGCAATTTTTACGAATAACTTCACCCGTGTCGCCGGTGAACACGTGAACGGTGGGAAGGCATCGACCCATTTCTTTAATTTCATTTTATCTATGCATCTTCATTCAGAAGAGCTTTTTCGTAATTCCTTCCACCAGCACATCCGTGTTCGTAATCGCTCTTGCTGTAAATGCCCCTAAAAGACCGTACCTTTTCTAGCTTGTGAGTGCTAGGGTCGAATTCAAATTTTTCGCGTCCTTTTTTAAGAAATGTCACCTCATTAATAAAAGCATCCCTCCTGATCGGAGCAGCCGCAATTATGTTTTAATATGCGCAGCTTTCAGTAGCGGGATTATTGCTGATGGCTCTGGTGTCGGAAGGCTCACTGTGAAGCGGCTACGTCATGTTACACGTCCACCCCCTGTTTTCCAGGGTCAATAGCTGACGGTCAAACAATTGCACTCATTGCTTCACGCTGATTTGTTTTGGGAGGCTGCGTCGCTCGAAGAGTGCGGTCGCTGGTGCTCGCTATTACCATGCATCATGAGACTGCTCGTAAACATTATGTGCTGTTAATGTCTGCTTCGCATTCAAATAACTAACTACATGAAATCGCATCGGCACTTGGAGTGGCCATAGTTCCTTTAAGCAGCGTCATGTTGATTTACGCTACATTGGGCCCAAAAGATCTAATTTGATGTCATCCGCGAGGAGCACTAGCTGTGGGGTAGCCGTTTTGAAGGTCCACGCACTCATCGCACTCACAAAAGATTTGCTGGATGCGCTGTGTTCAATAACCGTATGATGACTTGGATGACTAGAGATCCCCGGAACACCTTTTGCATGCCACTGCTCGCACAGCACAAACAGTGCGTACGTATGGACCTCGGAAATGACGTGACAATGGTGTGGCACCCTTGCGATCAAAGCTCAGTGCACACCCCCTCCAGGAAGCGAAGCACTTTTCGCAGTCTGCTCACATTGAGAGTACAACACATAGAATGGTATACAAGCCGTCTGTGGTATACCTTTTTGTGCATTGACATTAAAGCACTCACTTCCATGAGCAAAAGTAGTTTGATGTAAGGGATAGTTAGATTGAGCTGAGTGGGATATAGTTGGGATGGAATCCAATGCATTGAGGTTCAACATTTATGGTGTTCTTTGGACATGAAGGTGTGGAAAGTGAAATAACTAATTATATAGAGACTTTGTTGTGTCGACATTCAACTGTACACAGTCAAGAACAGAGTGAATACAAAAAACACTGCCCCGCCGCGGTGGTCTAGTGGCTAAGGTACTCGGCTGCTGACCCGCATGTCCCGGGTTCGAATCCCAGCTGCGGCGACTGCATTTCCGATGGAGGCGGAAATGTTGTAGGCCCGTGTGCTCAGATTTGGGTGCACGCTAAAGAACCCCAGGTGGTCGAAATTTCCGGAGCCCTCCACTACGGCATCTCTCATAATCATATGGTGGTTTTGGGACGTTAAACCCCACATATCAAACAAAAAACACTGCCATATGTGGCATACATGTTAGCTGGTATATTGCAATGCCATGGCACATTCACCTTCTAGGCACCAAAGTTCATACATTTGTTTTGAAAAAAAAAAAAAAAAGGAAGAAAGCCTACATTTTTTAACTCTAAATCTGAGACAAATTTATTAGCATTACAGTTAAACCTGCTTATAATGGACCTCTATATATTGAACACCTCGATATAACAAAGTTTTTACATTTCCTGCCATTACCCCATAGAAGCACATGTATTTGCGACCTCTATGTAATATATTAATGGTGGGAGACATCCTTGATGTTACAAATTTTCGCCACGAACAGTCTACGAATTTCGCCCTGGGTTTTGTCACTTTGGCACGAGAATGCATCTTCCACAGTTGCCACGCCGCTGCCAAAGCCGGCGGCCTTGAGTACGGCGTGCTCGTGGCCCCCGGCGACTCCCACGCGAGAGTGAGCACTCATTATTTCGTGCGTGTGTGCACGAGACAGGCAGGTGGGTCTGCGCCTCATGAACCGGCATTGCCGCTGTTTTTTCTGCCGCAGGTGAATGTGCCCTCCTTCTCTCTCTAAACATAAAAAAATCAATTTTTTTGGTGGCAGTGCCACGCTTTTGGTTTTTTGGTTAGCAGCACATATGTGGGGCTGCACTGCATATGGAGGGCATTTTACCGAATAGAATTCCATGATATTGTCGTTTGCTCTTCATTTTGGATGACATGCGAGCGTCAAGACGTAGTTTCACTGCGTGCGCATGGTGTGACCCCCAATGACGTTCAGCTTAGTGTTTTTTTTAAATGCAGACAACCGTGTCGTCACTACCGTGGGGGATGTCAGATTAAACGTGGATGGAAACTCTCCGAGACCACGGTGACAACGACGGATCCTCAGAGGGGGACTAGTCACATGCTTTCGTTTTGCGCTGCGCCGCAAGTTCGCGGGACTGTAGCCTTCGCGATTAGCCAATTAGCTCTGGCAACCACATAACCGCGTGTTAAATTCAGTGCAGTGACTGCAATAGCAACAAATTGTACTGTCGTACGAAGTATAGCTGGCAGTCTACACTTTTGTATTCCATGTTGCAAAACTACAAAACGCTGGTGTCAGCAAATATTGCCGCTCCGGGGAGAAGTGCTGTTTTCAGTCTCTTTGCTTTGAAAGTGCACTGATGCTTGCCGAGATAGCACGCACGTCAGTGATAGCGATCGCGCCCTTAAAATCAATGCTTATCATTGCTATTCAAGCGACACCCCCCTCCCTGTGTTTTTTCATGTTCGTTCAAGATGGGTGGTTTCTTTTCTGTTTGAGCACTCGACAGCAGTTCTAACGCGCAGGGAGATGTTATCGTATGCGCGCTTCAGGCGATTGAAATGGGCCGGCACATTTGATGGCTCCTTCAGTAACGCTCGCACGCTTTTACTCGCTCATAAAGATTATGATGCGTGGGGGCATGTTATCAATTTCGGCTTGTTATGGAACATGGTGGCGATAGCAAGAACTCATCTAGAGTGTTCATTTAATTTCTACCACAATCATAACTCAGTGTTTTTTGCTAAATAAGTGTTATCTAGTTCTGCATTCAGTTTCCTTTTTGTTTAATGTGTGCATTTATTTTTCTAGTTTTCGCACCAAACCTGCATATAACAAAATTCTCTTTGTAACGAATCTTTCTGGAAATTTGTCAACTTCCTTATATCCAGGTTTAACTGTACCTGGGAAATGAGGCATTTCATTTTGGCAGATGTACAAAATGAAATGCACGGTGCACAGTGAGTGTTGTGGAAAATATGCCCCGGGACGTGCGGAGCATTCCCAAAGAAGTTGTATTCCTCCCGATGAAGCATGCGACTGTAGTGTGGTGGGGAGAGTGCAATGTTTTCGTTGCGGCGGATGTCAGTTTACTTACAAATGCTATGTCCCATGCCATACTGCCCCACCTGCAGAAGAGTGCATTCGTTGGCTTTGGATATACTCTGGGAACAATTTTTCTGAGCCTGCAGCTCTTTTCCAATAAGAACAAAACTGGTTCTGAATACTATATTATAAGGCTGAGAGGTTATGTAACACACGAAAATCAACTAGAAATGTTATGTCAGCGTGTATCATTCATTGAAATGAAGCATTATTTTAAGAAGAGTGTGCCACCAGCAAGTGAAGAGGCTATTCCCGGTACATGCAGGCTTGGCATGGCACCCAATCCACGAGTGCCTGTTCGCCAGTGGTGGTTCTGACGGTGCCATCATGTTCTGGATGGTTGGGTAAGCCACCCTTTCCCTACATCAGATCATTTACAGCATCTTCAAGTGGCCCATTAAAGCACTTACATGGGTGAAAAATGACTTTTACATGAAAGTTCCAAATGAGCTGTACTTAGTGGTGCTCATATATAAAATTTTTGTTTTATGTTTTTTCATGGATAATCATTGCACAAATCAGTAGGATCACAGGCTGTTTATACATGTTTCAAGTGCATGTAGAAATTTTCCTGAGGAAATTTCAGAATTACATAAAGAAACTGTGCAAAAGATAAACCTTATAGCCCCGCAAAATTTATACTACACAAGCCTTCCTTCCCAAGATTAAAATTTCGAATAAACCCCCGTAAACCAAAATACCAGAATGCACAAAGAACATTTTAATGCACGTTAATAAGACACTAATTAGTAGGTACGTCTTCATGCTTGTTTTCTTTTTTTTCTTTGCTTGAAGCGCATCACAGGTATGAAAACGTTAATGCACGGCTCCTCAGTCACCCAATTATACACTTGACCAGAATACTGCTGCAGAAGTGCATGACTTGAGTCTTTTCTTTTTTAACGCTGAGTGGGGTTTTTAGCTTCTATATTATGTTTTACGGTGTCACAAAGGTTGCAAAATCAGCACTTTGCTAGATCATGTTGCTAAAGGGCTGCATTCGCACAATATTTAAGGCTTTCCTTGTTTGGGACAATGCCAAGTGCACTTGGTGATGTGCTTGAACTACTGAGCAGCACCCACACAGACATGATTGTGGCCAGTGATGGTCATGACAATCACACATAATAGCACTTTCAACACATGCACTCACTGATTTCCAAACATTGCATAAACAGTCAAGGCCAAATGTCTCACTATGGCCTGGTAGGCACACTGTGCTGACACAACACAACCAACTGCCCCTTGAGGATGTCATAAATGCATGCGAATATGGTGAAGGTAAAAGAAAAAAAAAACGCATATCCACAGGGTGAATGATAGAGAGTGGGGCGAAGCATCCATCTGTCCATTCGTTCTTGCTTCCGTCTGTCCATGCGTCCGTCAGTGTGACCATTCGTGCGTCCATCCGCCCGTCCGTGCGTGCATCTGTTCGTGCATCCGGTCCCTGCAATCATCCATGCATCTGCCCCTCCGTCCGTCCATGCGTCCATCCGTCCGTACAGGCATCTGTCTGTGTGTCCGTTCGTCCATCTAGTCAACACTCCAAGTACCACCATCTTGCATCTTTTCATCATATATGCGTCAGTCTGTGTGACCGTCCATGCGCCCATCCACCCGTCCGTGTGTGTGTCCGTTCCTGTGTCCGCACATCCATCCGTGCGTCCGTCCCTGCGTCCGGCCGTCCGTGTGTCCATCCGTCCGTGCAGCCATCCGTGCTTCCGTCCATGCATTTGTCTGTGTGTCTGTTCGTCCATCTAGTCAACACTCTAAGTACCGCCATCTCGCATCTTTTCATCATATATTCTGCATATAGAAGCACCGCCATCTGCGGACATTCTAAGGACTAAACGAGAGGTGGCACACGCACACTTTTTTATGGCTTGCGCTTCGTGTCTACTTCCCACCTTTAACCTCCTTGAGTTCATGGTATATACTAGTTCACTGTATTCATGGCACTGCGGCCCAACGCTCGCTAAACCTTTCTAAAACCAAGGAGGTTACGCCCAGCGAGTATAACCTAGCAACCATTTCTTGTCAGGTAGGGCTCAATGTATATGCCAATGGCTGCTAATTGGACATGAGAGACAGGAGAATTTGGCTTTTAATTAACACGCACGCTGCGAATTTTTTATTGTTCAACAACGCACAGGAGAAATCTCCCACCGGTATCACCTTGCAGGTCAAAGCGTAAGACTGGTTACGCATTAAGACTACTACGAGGGACAAACGGGTGCCGCTTTAAGGAGCTTCGCCCTTAAAAAAAATGAGGCACTGTGCTGAAATCGACTGGGGAAAGGCACATGTTCTTGCTGGAGAAAAAGGACTGTCATAACGTCTTTATCATAATTCACTTGTGATGCGAAACACCACGCACTCTCAACTGAAACAATAGAAGTCTACCATCAGTGTATGTGCACTGTCTGCATGATATATGCAAGCGTGCATAAGGCAAACTGCTCAAACGCTTTTTCATTTTACTTGTGAAAAGGTTCCCCTGTGGGAGCCAAAACGTTTTTTGTGCATTTAAAATACACTTTGATCGGTGCCTCTTTTTTTTAACCTTCACCATGTGTCATTCCGACCTGACGGGCTTCTGTCAAACGGGTCTAACAGATCACGCAGAGAGCCACCCACATGGCGTGGATGAGCTGGTAGCTGTCGCCAGGTTGAGGCTGGGGTCGATCTTGCTGACAGTATTCTCAAAAACCGGCATTATGTTGCTAGTGCCATCATGTTGAACTCTGGCTGTATTATTTGTTTCTGCCTTTGGGGGGATAGTGTGTTGCAGTGATTAGCCAGCAGCGACACCGTGGAAGAACCATACAGGCTACGGCTCCATTTTCGTGTTGCAGCTACCTCCCTCACTTTCTGTCCAGCCTGGCAAGATTATTGGGTTGCGGCATCTCTACATTCACAAACCGCTGACTACCCAGGAAAATGGCTGAGTACTCATAACATTGCACCACTCGACGTCGACAGATACCAATGCACATGTGTCATCAGTTTTCTGTGGAGAACAAAGTAAAATAGATAACAAAACCCACACGGTCTCTCATGTGCGTCCGCCTAATTCGGCTCAAAAGCGAAAGTTTCTTTTACGTCGATGTACCAAACCTCTCCCTTGAAAAGCTTTCTGCAACTAACATGGTTTTTTATTGCCTCCAGGATCAGAGACATCCGGCACCTTAGTTTGCTTTGCAAGCCTTGGCACCTTGGACCAAGGAATGATGTTGTCTGGTGGCATCACAAGTTTTGCATCTGTGGCATGATGAAAACGTCATATGATAACGTCATCGTGTGATGCTTATTTTTTGCATCACTTGCATTGATGCCAATGTAGAAAACTGGTCCATTTTCGCACTTGAGGAGGTATTTAAGACTGTCGCCTCAAATGTGGCTGACTGTTGTCCTGCCTGAAAATTACTCCGCCTGTTCTGATTTATCTACCTGCGAGTGGTGCTTCTGCAGCTGAACATTTTTGCCAGGTTTAATTCCTAGATGCCAGTCTGTCTTTTCTTGTAATTCGAAGTTTCTCCTGCCCTTTTTTTTGTTTCTATTAGCTAAGCGAAGCGCTTCTAATACTTCATCTCACAGAGGAGACAGGGGCATGGTACTCTCCACTGTCATAGCACACCAGGATGACACGGCAGGGTTTGTCGGCTCTCCATCATTGCACCAAAAAACACTCATGACATTATCATATTGTATCACATACAATGCAACAGTACATTATAATGTACCAACTCGGCCAATCTGCAGTACTCAAAATAGGTTGTCAACAGAGATGGATTTGTTAATCCAAGATGCAGCACAGTGCGTTAATCACGGGCTTGCAGACCTACAGGAAAACTTCACAAGACCGACCGAGCGTATAGTTGTCGTTGCAGCTACGATGATAACTCAAAAGACAGAAGCCAAGTGCACAGGATGCCTGCCAGAGTAGCGGGTCAACCTCTCGTGCAGGCCTGAGAGCATCTGACGTGGCAAGCCAGCGGCAGACAGAAGCATGCTCGTGGCAGAGGGGTCTCCCGCTGGCAGCCAATAAGGACAGGTGAAGCACGGTGACATGTGGCAAACGAACATGTTCAGACACGTGTCTTTGTGCAAGGAAAGCTCACGCACGGACTGCATCAGGCAAGAATGGCTGGCAGTGTAACCGCGGTGGCCATTGCCAGCTAAAGGTGGTTCCTGGCATTCGAGCTGCACAGGGCCAGCAAAAAACCCTTTGTACTCCCATATGCAGCTGATATACACCCATATACATCCATATGCAGGACGTGGAAGTGGTTGGCAAGGTACAATGCAGTGACCATAGAATGGTACGGTCTCGAATTCGCCTAGATTTGAGGAAGGAACGACAGAAACTGATACGCAAGAAGCCAATCAATGAGCTAGCACTGAGAGGGAAAGTACAGGAATTCAGAGTCTCGCTTCAGAACAGGTACTCCGCTCTTAGTGAGGAAACCAACCTTAGCATAGATACAACGAATGATAATCTGACGAGTATCATTACGGAGTGTGCAGTGGAAGTTGGAGGCAAGGTAGTTAGACAGGACACTGGCAAGCTTTCCCAGGAAACGAAGAATCTTATTAAGAAGCGTCAAATCATGAGAGTTTCAAGTACAACAGACAAAATAGAACTGGCAGAGCTTTCGAAGTCGATTAATAGGCGTAAGGTATCCGATGTAAGAAGGTATAACATGGAGAGAATTGAACACGCTCTGAAAAACGGAGGAAGCGTCAAAGCAGTGAAGAGGAAACTTGGGATAGGCAAAAATCGGATGTATGCACTAAGGGACAACGAAGGCAAAATAACTACCAATATGGATAGGATAGTTAAAATAGCGGAGGAGTTTTACACAGATCTGTACAGTAGTCGGGACAACCACGACCTTAGTACTATAAGAACTAGCAGTAACCCAGATGACACCCCACCAGTAATGATAGAAGAAGTCAGAAAAGCTTTGTAGAGCATGCAAAGAGGCAAAGCTGCTGATGAGGATCAGGTAACATCAGATCTGCTAAAGATGGAGGACAGATTGTGTTAGAACTAGCCACCCTGTTTACGAGGTGTCTCCTGACGGGAAGGGTACCAGAGCCTTGGAAGAACGCTAACATCATCTTAATACATAAGAAAGGATATGACAAGGACTTGAAGAGTTACAGGCCGATTTGCTTGCTCTCTGTAGTGTACAAGCTATTTACAAAGGTAATTGCTAACAGAGTAAAGAAACCATTAGAATTCAATCAACCAAAGGAACAAGCAGGATTTCGAACAGGCTACTCAACAATCGACCACACTCATACTATCAATCAGGTAATAGAGAAATGCTCAGAATGT